ACCGTATACAAACATTTGGGATGGGTTGTGCAGGAGGCCCAACGCAACCCATGACAACAAGTGCGCGGGAAGATTGCAAAATGGAATTACTCCTCCCTTCATTATCACTTATCACTCAAATTACCGATTAACTGACACCATAAAATCACTGCTGCTATCTGTATCTCTCATTTTAAAGAACTAATTATCAATATACTGTAGGGTTATGAGATATTGGTTCACACTCAGGATGGGATGGAGAAAGGAAACTCACAATGTGCTCTCTGTATACATATTTTATTGGATGTACAATGCAGCTTGATGCTGGGTAGGCAGCATGGCTACAAGCGTTGAGTAGAGAGAGCTGGTTGGTGAGGGTGCCCAGAGGAGGACACGCGGCCTGAGGGACGCCAAGGTCGCCGGCGGGGGCGGGAGCCGCCAGGCTGGAGCGGAGGAGGAGGTGTTGCTTGCTGGTGGCCGTAGGTAGAAAGAGAATGGTCACAGCCAAGGTAGGTATCTACCTACCTTGGTCACAGCGGTGTGAGGTCTTATACGGTGAGGGTAGAAGTGGGTTGATAATTGACCCCCGCTCCGTCAGGCGGCGCTGGAGGCGTAGGCTGGGGAATTCGAGAAGGTTCGGCTACTCAGCGACAAACGGCGCTTGTAGGGGAGGAATCCACCGCAATACCTCCAAACACTTGCTTTAAAACACGATAAAACACTCGAGCTTCAAACATACCACGGATCTACACGCCACCGAAAACAACAACTAATAAATGTAAAGAAAAATATTAACCCAATGATCAGTATCCTCATGAATAAGTGATATAATTTGGCAACTCTAATATAATATTAATTCTTATTGTTAATTATTCCTACGAGGTTAAAAATAGCTAATTAACAACCAAATAAGGCAGAAAATAATTGGCACATCTCAAGAATGTAGATAAACTATAAATAATATTCAAAATGTGGTTTAGCATAAATTAGTATAAACCCCAAAATTAACTCATTTAATTAATTTGGAAAGTTAAGGAAAGCTAATTTTCTACCAAGGAATTAGACCAAAGACTCAATTAGACAAACTCGACCACTTATACCACCTTACGGACAAATACATTAACATATATTATAGATATAGTAACAATGTCCGACACGGAAATAGAAAAAAGTTACATATAAATATTATAGATATAGATGCCAATAATTAAGGAGAGAAACAAAAGACAGAAACAAACAAAAACAATTAACATCAGCTGGCAAGAGGAAGACTTGGTGCCTCAACATGCCTCCCAAACGACAGGTGTGCTGCTATTTTGAATCATTACAGCATTATAAACTAAGTTATAGAGTGTATTTATTGCTATTTCTTATGTATGCCAAAGTATTTATCATTTAATATAGTCAGAAGGTGAAATTTCATTGAGAGATGAGGGCCAGGGCTGGGATACCTTTCGTCGGTCTGATTACAGGTAAAATATGTATCCTTGGTACATACGTAGAGGAAAAGCTTTGGACCTGAACAGGCTATTGTACCTGACGTGTTTATGTTATGGCTTTCTATAAACATTGCAAGTGCACACAGTAGCTCGTAGAAATTTAACAAGATTGAACAGGTATCTACCATATTTGAGTACATATAGAGCTTAATTTTTGTAGTTTTGTATTTTTTCATTTTGTATTTTTACATATTGGTTGACCAATGTTTTTCCAGTGTATTTTGGTGTGTTTTAAGCGAATCTGACCTTAATTTTTGTCGCAAATTGCTCGTTTTTGCCCCCTCCCTCCAACAATAATGGGGGAGAGCAATTGAAATGAGGGCAGAACACGAAAATGAGTCAGCGGTAAATTTATATTAGTGCACACAACTCTGTTAGAAAGTCAAAACAATGTTTTTCTTGTGTATTTTTGTGTGTTTTGATTGGTTTTGACCTTGATTTCCGTCGGAAATTGCCTATTTTTTAATTATTGGGGGTTTTTGGGTGGGGCGTTTTCTGACAAAAATCATGGCCAAGCCAATACAAGATACACAAAAAAACACTAGAAAACATAAACCGAACTTAACCTGACCTAACCGAACCTAACTATCACTATATGATGGAATCACCTATTTTTTACCTTATTGGCCTTGTTCATGCCAAATATGTTGGTCTTGACTATATTAACACTCGTTCTTACACTTAGGACACTTTACTGAGGTCGGGAGAACACCATGAGATCTAAAAAATGCTATTGGTTGTTCGTTTTTTCCCCAAAACACTCAATCAACTCCATATAATTGAAGTGACACCCATCGCGGACTTCCATGGTCGGAAATGAATTTGAATTTCAAAATACGGGAAACCCAAAATCACATTCGAATCTGATTGGGCAAAAAAAACACGAATTAAACCACAATTTATTTTAATTGGTGGCCCCTAAAAAACCTCTTTTGATTGGCCACGTGACATGTACGGGAACGCATGACAATTTATGAAGCAAACACGCTGAATGGGAGGTCGGGTAGGCGATAATGGCGGAAGATTAATGGAAGAAAATAGAGAAAGGTTTGGCATGCTCTATCTCCGTTATTATACGTTTGTGACGGTAATGTAATAGAAGAAAATTATCTTAAAATTAGACATCTTTCGAATATGATAAAAGATTTGGGGTAGGAATGTTGTGTGCACTAATGCAAAAATACCAAGTAATCTAACCTAACCTAACCTAACCTAAATGTTTCAGTAATTTATAGCTTTGGGGTGTGCTATGTCCTTAAGTAAAATAATACCAAATCAGATCTACAGTATTTCAGAGTGGCTCCTCCAGTGATCAAACTTGTCCTTGTCACTGCAACAGGGATGTAGGTTGAACAGCAACTTTCAAAAAAAAAAAATTCTCTGTAATAAGTTACTTATCTCATGAGTATCCCAGAATATGATGAGGATTTGCAATTTATATATTATTATAGTTAACACTTACTGATAGTGATCTGTGGATCACCTGAAGAATCTCCACCCCAGCTCCACCCCACTTAAAGATTAATTGACCAACCTAACCATGTTTTGGAAGAAGAGGTTAGGTTAAGTTAGGGTTAGTGATGGTTACTCTTAGGTAAAATAATGTTATTTGATATCTAGGCACACCCAGTTTACACCTTGAGGAAGTGAATGCGGTGGAGTGCAGTACCTGCCATCCTGCCTCCTTGTGTACCAAAGGCTTAGTTTACAGTATTGTGTACAGTACGTACAGTTCTGTATCTACACTGTCCCAAGTACAGTACTGTATGGTTCATGATAATTATAACTAAACAAAAAGGACATACAGTATTGATATGTTTCATTGGATATATTGCGAACTCAAGTAAGATGGACACTGGCTAAATAATTGTATTTAATTATTTATTTTTTAATAATATATACAGAACTGAAGGGAATATTAGTGTGTGAAGCTAATCATTATATTGTCTTTGTTGCAGCTGTACAATATACTGTCTGTCTTATATCAAACACTTCAGGTACTAATAGTTTAAAGAATTACATTGAAATATCTTAGCAGCAGGTTTGTTTGAGTTCAATTAAAAGGAGGAGATGAGAGTGAGAGAATACTACAGTACATAATCAGTGGCGAGCTGTCTACCAGTGGTTGCCAGTGATGAAAGTTGTGTCTTCTTTAATTACAGTACAGAGAAAACCTCCATATAATGGACTTCTCTCTCCATATAATACAATAGATGGGGAGGTTAAAGATCTAACGGACCCTTGCGTTTACCTCGTGGTATATGTATTGTCTTGATTGATTATCTTGCCGAATTGTGTGTGCGGGGTGAGGTTGTTGATCATATGTAGAAGTCCGCGCGCTTTATGGGCTAATGAAATATATATATATATATATATATATATATATATATATATATATATATATATATATATATATATATATATATATATATATATATATATATATATATATATATATATATATATATATATATATATATATATATATATATATATATATATATATATATATATATATATATATATATATATATATATATACAGTTTGTACCCCACTTAATGCGGTCAATTGAACCCAGAGGGTCCCGCGTTAAGTGAAAACGCGTTAAGTGAATAACAGAACATATGGGATTAATTCCAATAGAACCCAGCCCGACCCCCAAACTCCACTTTTTGACGACAAATAACTATGTTGTAGTAAAAATTCTATCTTAACTTTATGGTGGCATGAAAAACAAGTAATATAGAAGAGGTTAGGTTAGGAAAGATAAAGGTTAACATAGGAAAAATAAAGAATAGGTTAAAAAACGAAAATTTTTAAGGAACACTCACGGTAGTAGAAGAGATGGGTCGGCATACGGGGATGGAGGCTGGTTCCGAGGCAGAGGGCAGATTACTGCCCCTCAGGTGAATCACCATTACTAGGTGAATCACCATTACTAGGTGAATCAATATCACTGTCACTTACAGTTGTCATGGCTTCCCTGACAAATCCCTCAAAATCACCTTCACTATCACTATCACTGCCTTGGGCTGGCTGTGGTGGGTTGCGGGCAAAGAACTCAGTTATGCTTTGCTGACGGCTGGCTTTGATGTTTTCATGATACACCGTGATGTACGGCTCCATAGCCTGCACCAGTCGGTTATGGAAGACGTCATGGCGTTCATCGTCAGTGTCGCGGGAAACGATGGACTTAATTTTTTCTGTTAACTCTATGACACACTTAATATCACTATGACTTAAACTAGGTTCTTCGGAGAATGACGCACCTTCTTCCTCCTCTTCACTGGCGGGTTCTTCTTCCAACATCTCGTCGGCAGTCACTTCAGGATCTCTGATCACCTCCATGATGTCTTCGTTGGTGGTCTCGGAGAAGCCTTCAGCTGTAACAGTCTGCGCAGCTTCTCTGGCAAGGTCCACTGCTACTGCAACAGTCTGAACCTGACCAGTAACAGATTGACTCCTCCTCTCACCTGGTATGCCATGCAACACATGTCTCCATGCGTGACGAATCGTAGCAGTAGACAGCAGATCCCATGCCTCCACCAAGAAGTCTACAGCTTGTTTGACGTTAAACTTCTTCCAAAATTGTTTGACGAGAACTTCTTGAGTCGCCGCCTCTTGTTCCTTGTCCTCGTCGCTTTTACTCTCGCTGTCGGTGTCACCCAGCTTACGCAACTCATCCTTGGTGTTGGTAGAGTCGTTCAGGAGCTTGAATTTCTTTGCCGAGTATGCAGCTTTAACGTTGCAGATTAACTCCTGGTCCATAGGCTGGATTAATGACGTGGTGTTGGGAGGAAGGAAGACCACTTTTACGTTGGGGTGACGATCCATTAGTAGGGGCGAGTGTCCAGGTGCGTTGTCAAGGAGCAACAAAATGTTGAATGGAACATTCTGTTGCTCGCAGAATTTCTGCACGTCAGGAACAAAAAAGTTGTCAAACCAGAAGAGGGACAGAGAAGAGGACATCCACGCCTTACGTGCGGTTAGCCAGTGGACATTAAGCTTGTTCATGTCCATATTCTTGTAGGCGTGCGGCTTGCGGGCTTTGTGAATCACCGATAACTTTGGTTTACAGGTACCGGAGGCATTGGTGGTAAACAGGACGGTGATGCGTTCCTTCTGCATCTTCCGGCCCCTTACCTTGCTCGCAGACTGGACAACGAAGGTCTTGGAAGGTAACTTTTTCCAGAAAAGACCAGATTCGTCCATGTTAAACACCTGGTCGTCAGTGTACTGTCCTTCCTCCATAATCTCACGTAAAAACGGAGGAAAATCTCTAGCCGCCGCACGGTCAGCACTCGCTTCCTCACCAACAATGCTGATGTTGGTGACCTTGTTCCTCCTCTTAAACCTATGCAGCCAACCATGGGAAGCATTGAAGGGTTTGGGCTCTGCAATTCCCATTTTACGTGTCACTGCTGTGTATAGCTCACGTGCGTACTCCTGCACTGAGCGCGTGTCCACCGCCATGTTGCGTCGCGCCTGACGCACCAAATAACTCACCAGCAAAGTTTCCACTTTTGCCAGCACCCTGTTCTGGCAATACCTGATAGCTGAAGCACCTGCAGACTTTGTGAGCTTCATGTGCTCCTTTATCTTGGCTGCATCCTTCTTGATCGTACGAATCGTAGATTCGTTGACGCCATGCTGGCGCGCGAGATCAACTTGGCGTCTTCCTTTCTCCAAATCTTGAACAATTTGGTACTTCAGCTCGTAGCTTAATGAACGTCGTGTCTTCTTTGGTTTAGTGCCGCTGGGTCCAGGTAAGGAAAGGTTTCTCTCTGGGGGTGGTGGTCCGGC